AATTAACTACTGTATATATATTTATGAAGTGAATGTCTTCTTGTTGAAGTTTAGAACTAAGCAAACCTCCTTTTAGATGAGGATTCCCGTCCCGTGCTCAGAATCTAACATGTTGCTTCTGCACTAGAATCTGTGCTCCTGTTTCTTTCCCAAGGCCGTGTCTTCATCCAAAACTGCATCTATTCCCCCCCAAAGAACCTGCGTGAATCAAAAGCGCCTTCATCTTAAATTTCCTTACTATTCAATCTATAATATGAAACTTGTCTGCAGATATTGCAAACAGAAAAAAGCTTTTACCCTTTGAAAGTTAGACCTTTGATTTAACTTGCTACTAAACCAGAAAAAAAAAAAATAAACATAGTAAACAAAACACAAATGAAAGAGAATGTCACTACACCTGTGTTTCTTCCAATGTAGTCTATGATACATTTAAGTTTATAGCTAAGCTAATAGTGAGAAGTTTGGATAGTCCTATTTAGGTGAAAGACTCATTTTTTATTGTCATCATTGTGGCATGTTAAAGAAAAAACTAATAACTTATATGTGAATTATGTCGGTGGCCATATGTGATGGGTGACAGAACGGAGATGGTGGATGGGGATTCCATATAGAGGGACATAGCACAATGTTTTGGATCTGCTTTGAGCTATATTGCGTTGAGGTTACTTGGAGAAGAACCTGAATATGGCGAAGACAGGGAAATCGACAGATGTAGAAAATGGATCCTCGACCATGGTGGTTTAGTGGCTATTCCATCATGGGGAAAGTTTTGGGTTACGGTAAGTTAATCAAGATTATAGTAGTGCATCCTATTCTAGACAAGCATGCATAAAAATAAGCAATCAAATCACACTATATATAGGTCCTTGGAGTTTATGAGTGGCAAGGCTGCAATCCACTTCCACCGGAGTTCTGGTTTCTACCAAAATTCACCCCTATTCATCCAGGTGCACGTCTGAGATGGTTAATCGTTATTTCTTTATGCAACCATTATCTTGTCTAATTCCTTGGGGCAATTTAAATATGCATGCAGGGAAAATGCTGTGTTACTGTCGGTTAGTTTACATGCCCATGTCATATTTATATGGGAAGAAGTTTGTGGGCCCTATCACTGACCTAATCAGATCACTACGAGAAGAAATGTACAACCAGCCTTATGATCAAATCAACTGGAACAAAGCCCGGAACACTATTGCTAAGGTTTGTACGAGTGTGGAACCAATCTATATATTGTATTTGATTTGATGCATCAAGTGTGCGTATATAAATATGAAACTGACAAAAGCATGCGATTCCAGGAGGATCTGTACTACCCACATCCTATGATTCAAGATATGTTATGGGGATTTCTTTATCACGTGGGAGAGCCTATTCTGAACTGCTGGCCATTTTCCAAGCTTAGACAGAAGGCATTAGATATCGCAATTAATCATGTGCGCTACGAGGATGAGAACAGTAGATACCTTTGCATTGGAAGTGTAGAGAAAGTATTATGTTTGATAGCACGTTGGGTTGAAGACCCGAACTCAGAGGCATACAAACTTCATTTAGCTCGAATCCCGGATTACTTCTGGCTCGCAGAAGATGGCCTGAAAATACAGGTTAGTATTGTATTTATTACTTAATCAACTAAGGGCATGCAACATTTCATTTAATAGTATGTATGTAGTTGAGCCAGCACTCCACTAAAAGTAACAGTTGTTAAATAAATGTATAAATAATAATGGATGCAGAGTTTTGGATGTCAAATGTGGGATGCAGCATTTGCTATACAAGCAATACTTGCTTGTAACGTGAGTGAAGAGTATGGTCCTACGCTTCGGAAAGCACATGATTTCCTGAAGGCTTCGCAGGTAGTTGAAAATCCATCCGGTGAGTTCAAAGCAATGTACAGACACATATGCAAAGGATCGTGGACATTCTCAATGCATGACCAAGGCTGGCAGGTCTCGGACTGCACCGCAGAAGGACTCAAGGTTTTATTAATTATTTTATTGGTTTTTCAAAATATACATACATGCTATGAAGCTCGGACACGGACGCAGGACACGGACACGAGCACTCCGCTAATATAAAAAACATAGGACACGGACACGGAAAACAGTTCAAAATGAAAAGTAAGTTTATTTAAATTTAGTACTTTCAACCAAATTTTTTGTTTATTTGTAACATACTGCCATAGAGGCTTGGTGGTATCATCTTATTCTTTGGCTTGAAATTGACTAGAATTAGAAGCATTCTTCTCTATAATAAACAATATAAAAAAACTAAGATAAAATAAACAATATAATAAACCATTTAAAAATCCATACAAAGATAAAATAAACAACATAAAATAAACTATATAAAATAAAAATTATAGGTAGAAGCATTCAATCAAAAAAGATAAAAAGATAATTAGCAGAATGTATAGCAAAATGTTTACTTAATACTTTCTGTTCTAAATTTCTAATTAGCAATTCTTTGTATCTAAATTTCTAATTAGATAATACTTAACCGTAGAAGAAAATACACACAGTCTCTCTCGATGAAAGAAAATAAGCACATATTTGAAAGAAAATACACACATATTCTGCGAGTTGCGACATATTGGATATAGCAGTAGTCAATAAAAATTTATAATAGAAGGAGAAGATAAAAATACCTTTGAAGAGTGGAGACCGAAGCACTGGCGGCAAAGATAAAAACAAGGAATCATAATGGTATAACTATGTTGATTTTATAAGGTAAAGAATCCTATTTTCGAGTTGGGCTTTTTTTTTTTTTAAATATGAATTTTTTGTTGAACCGTGTCCTATATTTAAAATAAAGTGTCGCACCCGTGTCCGTTCCGATTTAATTTTTTTTTCTTCTGTCGGACACTTCAAAAACGTGTCAAATACGTGTTGTACGAGTGTCGTATGAGTATCCGTGTCCGACACGCCGTGTGAATGGCGTGTCGGCGCTTCATAGCATACATGCATAACGTGATATTCATTACAACATACATAAAACACATGCAGGCTGCACTGTTACTGTCAAAAATGCCAAGTGCTCTCGTTGGAGAAAAATTGGAAACAGAGCGATTCAATGATGCTGTTAACGTCATCCTCTCTCTACAGAGCAGTAATGGTGGGTTCCCTGCTTGGGAGCCTCAAAATGCTTACAGTTGGCTAGAGGTATGTTATAAAGTTACTCTTACTCATCAAACAAATTAATATATAAAAGAAAAAATTATAAGAATGATAACAACTAATTATATGCATGAATGTCTACTGCAGAAATTCAATCCAACTGAGTTCTTTGAAGACACGCTGATTGAGAGAGAGTAAGACATATAGCAACATCAATCATAAAGAAACATTGTCGATGGATATATAAATTTCTCATTTACTGCATATATGTGTTCCTTGTTGTGAAATTAATAGGTATGTTGAGTGCACTGGTTCTGCAATGCAAGCCCTGATACTCTTCACAAAGCTACACCCTTATCATAGAACAAAGGAAATACATCACTGCCTTGCCAAAGCAATTCATTACATTGAAAACACACAAAATCCCGATGGCTCCTGGTATTCTATCTTGTATTCTCTCTAATAAATATACACCGCCTAATAACCTAGTGTGTTAAACATGACATACTTTCTTTAAATTTAACTAACAAGTTGCAGCTATGTATGGTTCATAATTTAGAATAGATAGACAGATATAATTAGTACTTTCAATGAAACACAGGTACGGGTGTTGGGGAATTTGCTATACATATGGTACCTGGTTTGCTGTAGAGGGACTAACAGCTTGTGGAAAGAATTACCGTAATTGTCCTGCCCTGCGAAAAGCTTGTCAATTTTTGTTGTCAAAGCAACTTCCTAATGGGGGGTGGGGAGAAAGTTACTTGTCAAGTCAAAACAAGGTATATATATATATATATATATATATATATATATATATATTATATGTTGATTTTACTTTGAACTCCCATGTATGAGAATAACTCACTCGTTTTTTCTTGTTAAATTAAATAGGTATATACAAACATAGAAGACAACCGTGCAAATTTAGTTCAAACTTCGTGGGCTTTGTTGTCCCTCATCGGTGCAGGGCAGGTTAGTAGTAAATAATAAAGCTAGTTTAGTTCCGGCCTCCTAGTAATTAGGAATTAATGTGCTTTTCTAAATCTGGATGAATGTTTTTGTTACAAAAAAGGCTGAGATAGACCCAACACCCATACACCATGGAATGAAGTTAATAATCAATTCACAAATGGAAGATGGAGACTTCCCACAGCAGGTAATTAGCGTATCACTTCTCAAGTCTCGTCAATTCATGTACTAAATATTTAGTAATTTATGACAATAAATAAAAACATGCAACTATACAGGAGATAACAGGAGTATTTATGAGAAATTGTACCCTAAACTACTCATCATATCGAAACATCTTTCCTATATGGGCTCTAGGAGAGTATCGCCGCCGAGTCTTGTCTGGACAAACTCCAAATGCTGCAGCTTGAATTGTGACTACTCACTACCCAAGTGCTAATTGGTTGTACACACCAAGTTATGGTGCCATAATTTGATTACTATTTTTCTGAATTTATATTTTCCTGCAATTTATAAATATGTCAATGCCGTTCTTTTTACAATAAGTTTTTCTTCAAGAATCTCATCTGTAAGACTTTAAGCATATTTGTTTAAGACATTTATTTTGTAATTTAATCATTTTTAGTTCAAAATGGCATTTACATTTTTAGTTCCATGTGCATTTTAAGATCTTGGACTTATATTATATATCCCAACTGTGACTGTAAGCACATTCGTTTAAGATATTTATTTTGTAATGTAATCATTTTCAGTTCAAAATAGCAGTTATATTTTCAATTCGATATGCTTCTAGAAATAGTACAAAATGCATTCATATTCCTTTTTCTAACTAAAAAATGGTACGGACATATTATTTTTCATTTTCAAGGATTCTTATTTTATTATTTTAAAGTAAAAAGTTAAAGTGAAGCAAAAGATGAAAAAATGAAGGCGCGGACATCCCAACTAAGTTGACACCCTTACTGTTGTATCCCAAAATTTGCCCTCTTATCTCTCTAGAATTTTCTCACAAGATTTCTACTGGGTCAAGACTCCACAAGGTTTGATCAGCAAGATACTTCCTCCACAACTGATGACTCAAAACTAGAGTTTGAATTTTACACAAGTACAATTGGATTTTTAATGCCACATATAGTTCTATGGATCATATTGGGCTCTCAAGCATCAAATCGAAGAAGAGCAAGTTTGTCTTGATTCCTATGCTTCGATTTGGGCATTTGACTCCTTTTGAACTAGCTTGATTCCTATGCTTCGATTGGACATTTGACTCCTTTTGAACTAGCTTGATTCCTATGCTTCAATTGGACATTTGACTCCTTTTGAACTAGCTTGATTCCTATGTTTCGATTGGGCATTTGGTTTCTTTTGAGCAAGCTAAATTCCCAAGCTTCGATTGGGCAATGGCCTCCTGTAGGTTTGCTTCGATTTAGAAAGCAATGACCTCCTACAGGTTTGCTTCGATTGAGAAGGCAATGGCCTCCCGCAGGCTTGCTTCGATTGAGAAGACAATGGCCTCCTGCAGGCTAGCTTCGATTGAGCAATGGCCTCTTACATGCTTGCTTTATGCAAGCTTCGATTGAACAAATGGCTATCTTCATACAAGCTTCGATTGGACAAATGGCTATAAGCTTCAATTAAGCAATTATTTCCTTCATTTGTTTTTGCTTCGATTCAGAAAGCATTGGCCTTCTACTGACTTGCTTTGATTCAGAAGGCAATGGCCCCCTACAGGTTTGCTTCTATTCACAAAGCAGGGGTTCCCTTCATGCTAGCATGCACAAGGCAATGACTCCCCTCATGCTTGCTTCGATTCTATCTTTAAACCTTTCAACACACATAGACACACAACTTGGTGGATTCGAAGGACACACGTTTGGTGGCCCATTCGAAAAACATGCAATTAGTTGGAACAATTAATCTTGTTTGCCTTTGAGTTTGGTTGAAGGTTGGACCTACGTGATCAAAACGAAAAGATTTAAAGTGGTATATTCAGCTGAATATGACCCATTTGAAAGGCATGCGTTGGTGGGAACAATTAGTCTTGTTCGCCCTTGAGTTTGGTCGAAGGTGGGATCTATGTGACCAAAACAAAAGACAGAGTATTTGATCCAAGGCATCAAGTTGAAGACAGAATCCATAGGCCAGGCTACATGATCTTGCTTTTCAGGCCTCAAACTTGTGTCTCACTCTATAACTAATTGTTTACACAATTAAATTTAACTCTTACCCAAGTGTTTTCCAAGCCAACTTTCCCTTAATGGCATAAAGTTATCATTGCCATTTTTAGAAAAGTTTTTTGAGCCTTGCGCGTGTCTCTTCTGCACACATGTCCCCTATAAACTAGAACCAACAGGTCTAAAGCCTCCAACAACTTCAGACCATGCTTGTACAGCACCTTGAAACTTGTTTTCCACTTTTCTTCAAAAGAAAAGCAAGTCACCTAGTCAAAACCCTACAACAGAGAGATCTCTCACGTAAAAACACCTATAACCTTTTCTCTATAAATAGAGAGACCATTTGCAAATCAAAGGGTCTGGTTTTTTTTTTCTATTGTGTGAAAAATCCTCAAACACTCCCAAACTCTCAAAAAACTTAGAAACTCCATCCAAAGCCACATTGCTTGTCATTTTTGGCTTTTGAAGAACCAACGCCAGAATCCTTCGAGCGTCTCCCATTTCTTCCATTCGAACACCATCCATACACCACATAAAGAGAGAGATTACTAGCCTAAGATATCAAATACCTCATTGTGTTCTTTTAGCCTTTCGATTCACCAAGCCTCCATATACCAGCTCTTCAATTCAAAGTGATTTTCAAAGCAAAGTAGCAACTGGAATAGCTTCAAGGAGTTTGAAGCAGGCTTGATCCATCATCAAACTGTTCCTGGAGGCTCTGTCGAAGTACCTCAAGTTTCGCTCCAAGAGGTAAATTTTCTTAAACTTGGGACTTTTCATTCAAACATCATTTGTATATACATTGAAAAGAAAAAAATGTAGATATCATGTCTAAGAAGTTGACCTTGCTCTTAGCTTCGATTTTCACTGCTTATACGTTGAGAACTTCAACTCTGGCTAGTTAGTTTTCTTTCGATTTTAGCACCAAACAAGTTTGTGCTAACCTCTGATCTGTAACTTTCGAAGGTTACATAGTTGGATGTGTATTCAAATTTTAGACAGGTTTGGTATTTATACTGCTCGATTTGGTTGAGAATCGAAGCTTTTAAAAGCTTAACATGGTGATACATATCATTGTACTCGAAAGAAGAAGAAACTGGGCATTTCAAACATTCGGAAACGAATTCATTTTGTACCTAATCGAAGTCATCTTATGAACGGATGAAACAGACTATCCAAGTGGTACAAACAGCGCGCGCGAAAGACATTTATGTATAAGGTCCTGGATTCAAACCTTGGCAGGACCAGAACAGTTTTTATTATTTGTTTGTTTCCTTTTCTTTTTAACAAAACTTCAAACACTTTTCCAAGCAATCAAAATAACTCATTTTGAATTGATTTTTGGACACGATTTTGTTTTACAATGTTTATTTCATGAATATATAAAAATATCACAAAAAAATATTTTATAATTATTAACCAAAACTTTTCTTTAACAAAAATCAAAACAATTTCATTTTCTTTTTATTCATATCTTGTATATTGTTTTTCTTCTAATTCTTGCACATTATTCAAATTCAATATGGTTGTAATAGATAAATTATGATTTAATTTCTTGCAATCCCCATTTATAAATTTATATCCCCCATCCCCAAATGATGTAATAGCGTAGTAAATTTACTTTTCGCAATTTATCACTTTAATATAAATTGTTAGTAATTATGGTGTGTATGGCAAGACTAAAACCAATGTTTAGAAAACCCTAATTCAAGACAAAATCAAGCATGAAAAATAAACACCTGCACACTTGCACCTCTAGGGTTAACTCCATTTGTTGCCTTGAGAAAATGGTCATAATATGCATGTGAGACGTCTTAGCAAAAACAATCAAAAGATCATAGTCCCTCGATGACGCTTCGAATGTTGTCTTACAAATGATCTTAGTCCCTCAAGAGAAATGCTAAGATATCTCACAATATTGTTATTCATGACTATACGATGACTCACGTTCGTCCCTTTTGCATCCAAAGATAAGGCTTCTTACCAATCAATGGTAAGATAGCAATATCAAAAGAATGAAGAAATGAACAAGAGACTTTTGAGTAGGTAGAACGTTCTTAGTTGCTTGCTTGCAAATCAAAACCATTTTCACACTTACACTTTCAAAAAACATCTTCAAAAACAAACATCTCTTTGAACTATTTTAAAAAAAACAACACTTTGTATGTATTCTTACATAGACGAAAATCATTACAAAATTAGCCGCGACAAAGGTATTTTGCAAAATGTTTTCAAACTTACACCCATCACAAAACAACTTTTCAAACAAAATATTTTTTAAAGTGATCTAGCAAGCAACTAAGAGCCCATAGATAACTATGGATGAAAAAGGTGCTAACACTTTCCCTTTTCATAACCTACCCACGAACTCAAAAAATTATCTCAAAGGTCTTTCCTGTTCACACTTTCTTTATTGGATAAAAGAAAAATCGGTGACGACTCTTGCTATCCACAACAATTGTGATAAAACGCAAAACAACCAAGTCAGTTCTCCCACCGTATTACACTTACACCTACACCCAAATTGCTCAACTCTAACTAAATATAATTAAAGTAAAAATAAAAAATAAAAAGCTTGGCCAAAACCCAAAGTAACAACAATGCAAACCAAAATGATTGACCAACAGACTTATTATAAACCTTATCAAAGATTCTTATATTGATCTTAAGCTTTTTAAAGAAAAAGCAATAGTACTAAAACACGGGCATTTTACATGATTATTAACTCATCATTATAAATGCAATCCTAGAAATATCAAAAGCCATTATGTAGAGTACCAAAAGTGAGTATTAAATATTTAAATATCATTTAAAAATATACCTGACCAATCAACAATAGTGAATGCAGTCCATCCACGGAAGAAACACGCGCTGGAACACCAAAAACAGGCAAGGGAGTAAGAGCAGCTGACATGCCAGAGAATTGTAAAACTAATCAATCATTAACGTTAATAAGACAGTTGGTCTTTTAAGGAAATTAATAGAAAGCACAATTGAAGGAACTTACCAGGCATGTGAGCTGTGCACCACCAGCACCAGCATAACTACGTGTGTACTTCACTCATGAGCAGGCAATGCATATGAGAACATTGTTTCTGGAGTTCGGTATGCTGAAACTTTTCTCACCTAAAATTTTATACAAGTACAGTTACACAAGGATAAATCACTTCATACAATACAGCTCCTCTACTAGGGAAATTAAAACAATATTTTATCTCATGATGCACACAAAACACCTCCATGATTTCAGCAGAACTTTTCATAACAGACACATCTGAGAACCCATTATGATCCCCACACATGGAGCAACTACGTATGATAAACAAAAAAGAATGACAAAGTGTACAAATGGTAAAACATTATTAACTGTACCTTGGTTTCTTAAAAGAAACAAATATTTGGGACAAAACTATAATACTAAAAGGATCAAAGATCCGGGACGGGGAGGGAGTATTAACAAAATTCTTATTTTGAATTCCATCAAAATTACACTAATTCAATATATTACTTTATAAAGCATAATAGCACAAGCCTCTTATTGTAACATCAGCATTCCCTTTTACACAATGATGTACAACAATCAGCCAAGTTACACAAAATTTGGGTGTCTCCTTTTGTCAAAACTCCCACTACTTCATCAATTTATACTTTCAGCTAGGACATACTTTGTTAAATTTCATTAAAAAACGGGAATGAAATTATTCTAATTTCAACTAAATTTGATCCTCTGCTTGTTATATTTAAATCCATTAAGTTGGCTGAATTATGCACATCCATAGCGGAAAAAATATGAGGAAAAGACACCTCACACGGTATTGAAACAACCTGAAACTCTGAGTGAAAATACCTAAGGTAGTATGTGATATCGGCAAAGAGCCAATGATGTGATTTGCTGAGTTCATGAGCTTATATTTCAAGATAAGCATCATCCGAAGTTGGAAGGGTGAAGGATAAATCAATGGATGTTGGTATTCAAATCTGGCACTTTCGTCTATACAACCAAATCCTCGTAGAAGTGGGACATTAAGCAACATTGGAGTTCTCCTCTATTCACCCAACTTCACGTCATTCCAGGGTTGCAGGCAATGTTTATATGGTTCTGAAGTTTTATGGCCCAAATAAAAATTCAATTTGAAACTGCCTTATTAGGTTTTCCAGTAAAAAAGCTCAACGTTTCAAACTTTAAATTGTCGATTACCAATCCCGCGTAGGCAGACCAATTTTGGTTTGGAAATGGGAAAGGTCCTAAACTCCTCCTCGGTTGCCAGTACCATCCACCTCAATGGCACTACATCCTGGTACCTTTTTTATATGCAAATCTTTCATCTGACTTCTCGTCTTGCTCGCATCTTCCCATCTGTCAGCAGAAGCATAAATGCTAGCAAGGAGTGAATGAAGACTCGAATCACTGGATTTCACTTTTGCTAGTGTTGTAGCAAGCCTTTCACCCATATCAATATTGCCATAAGTTCTGCAAGCACTTAGCAAAGACCCATAAATTGCAGCTACTATCTCATTTTTTTGGTCTGGCAACTTCCTTATCAACTCCTCCGCCTCATGTAACTGTCCGGCTCGACCAAGAAGATCAATGAAACAGCCATAGTGTTCTAAATTTGGCTCAATACCATAGATACATGACATGGAATGAAATAACTTGCGGCCTTCTTCTACCAATCCTGCATGACTACAGGCATTCAAAAGAACAATAAACGTAACATCATCAGGTTTTGCCCCAAATGCTTTCATTTCTTCAAACAACTCCAGTGCTTTGTTTGTCTTACCATTCATGGCCAGTCCACAAATAATAGAAGTCCATGAGGCAGTATCCTTTTCCTTTAATCCATTAAAAACCTCCAAAGATTTCTCTATGCAACCACATTTAGCATACATTTCAATAAGGGAAGTACCAACCACAGCATCCACCATGATTCGGTTTTCATGTACATAATCATGAATCCATCTCCCATGCTCTAGAGTTCCCAACTGAGCACAACATGTAAGAAGAGCAACCACAATGAACTTGTCAGGCTTCACTCCTCTGACTTGCATCTCCCCAAATAATGCAATTGCCTCATCAAAACAATTAAACTGAACATACCCATTAATCATAGCCGTCCAAAGAACAACATCCCTTGTTGGACTGTTGTCAAACAAATCTCTAGCTTGATCCAACCGACCACAATTCACATACCCAGTTACCATACTTGTCCAACAATTCACATTCTTCTCAGCCATCCCATCAAAAATCTCACGAGCCACACTCACATACCCACACTTACAATACATATCCAACAACGCATTCCCCATTATGGTTGTAAAATCCAATTCTTTTTCAATATAACCATGAATCTCCTTGCCAACCTCCACATTCCTCAAAGCCGCACACGCGGTCAGAGTGCTCACAACAGTAGCTTCACTAGGCTTCTCATTGCTTTCCATTCGCATCTGCTGAAAAACTTCAACAGCCTCCAGGAATCTCATACACCTAACACAACCTGAAATCATGACGTTCCAAGAGACATTATCTCGGTGAGGCATTTCCTCAAACAGTTGTTTGAGACAACGAAGACGACCCAATTGAGCATACATGTCCATCAACGAATTACAAACAAATGCATCAAAGTCAAGACCAGTCTTGATGACAAAAGCATGAACCTTTTCCCCTTGAGCAACATCTCCCATGCACCCAATGGCCTTTAAAACATACGGGTAGGTGTAATTATCAGGCCACAGTCCGTCTTGTCTTAGTTGGTTGAAAAGAGAAAGGGAAGTGGTGAAAGTGCCCCTTTTGACGAAGGCTTTGATGATGAGATTGTAGGTGAACAAAGATGGGTGTTGGGTGTGATTGAAGATTGTAAGTGCGTAGGGAAATTGTTGAATGGAAACAGCCATGAGCTTGTTGAGGGTGTCTCTGTCTTGTTGGAGACCATTGGAGTATATGAGAGCTTGAATTTGCTTCACCTGTCGCAATGATTTGCAGCTTTTGAGAAGAGAAATACAAGTTCCCTTCATCACAAACAAACCACAAATTGCGTGAGTGTCTTTATCTTAAAACAAAATACTAGTCAATATGCTTTCTTTCTTTTTTTTTAAATCTCTATCTAACACACTTTTTTTCACACACCTAACCCCACCTTTCAATGGCTGAGAATAACTGATCGTACATGATCAGAAGAGATTGTCAAGACCCACGAGTTTTAAGTTTAACGGTGATTGAATGTGAAGTGAAGGTTTAGAGTAAGTGCAAGTAAGTGTGAAAGTGTGAGTGAATGAATGAATATTTGACCCTCTCAAGTGAGAAGGTATTTATATTCCCAATGTTGGATCAATGTCTCCATTGTTGGGCTGAGCAAGCAAGTCTAAAATGGAGACTGTTAGGTCCTACGTGCGTAGTGGGGGCTAGCATGTGGTCCCCAACCTGAATGGACTCCTTTGAATTATCAGGAGGATGTGGATGCGGTCTTTTCGGGGTCAAGAGGACTCCATGACATTCGGTGGTGTTGGGTGTCAACTCTACGAGAAGGATGCTCACGAGGACCTCCTGAACATCGTTGGTCCTCCTCACTAGTCATGAGGTTGTCCCCGGAGGACATATCCTGGTCGACGAGAGGAGTGGAGGATGCTCGCGAGGACCTCCTGAGCATCATTGGCCCCTCATCGTCAGTCATGGGGTTATCCCCGGAGGACATATCCTGGTCGACGAGAAGAATTGAATCACTGCCCGACATGGTCAAGGGCAGACTCTCTCCTACTGATTTTCTCTCTGCAGATAGTTGGATTGAGCCTTGTATGATGTTTGGGCCAAGTGTAGGCTCAGTCCAGAACAAGAGCCCCTTAAGTCGTTGCTCCTGAGTAAAGGAGTTATGACTTAAGACCAACTTCCCCGTATGGTGAGCACAGTTTCTGTTAGAACATAATTTGGTTCTACATCCCAGTAAGAGTTTTGATTATAACAAACACATGACATAAAGAACAAATATGCTCGCTAATAAAAGTATGTTTACATGCAGGATGTTCTGATGTTAAAAAGATGTTCTGATGCAACTGGAAGTTCTACCAGAACATCACAAGAAGTTCTGATTATGACATCCCAGATGTTCTGATGCAATTGGAAGTTCTGCCAGAACATCACCAGAAGTTCTGATTATGCAAGCACAGAAGTTGAGAAGACAATGAAAGATTCAGACGCATCAAATATGCATGACACGCCTATATGAAGAAGTTCTGATTGAACTTCTGAATGTAGCAGCGCTGCGAAACAGGATCTCTGATACTCTGGTGTGCAAAGTTCTGATCAAGCTGTAAAGAACTCTCAACGGTAATATTCATCCTCTGATGTGAGAAGCTCTGAAGCATTACAAATCCATCAATACAAGATCATAAGTAACGGCTTCAAAATGACAAGGATCTCCTGATTTGGAAAGCTCATTAACGCGTGTTATGGACATACCAAAAGTATCTTCTTATGTCACTATTGCAAGGCCTATTTAAAACTGACAAGAAGAAGATTTCAAGATGATGAACAACTGCGCTCAAAAAGAAAAACTCACGTGAAAAAGTAAACAACGCAGCTTTCATTCTTCATCTTCAACAATTCAATATTAAACTGTGTAATACATCACAAGTTTGTGATACTGTTTATTTAGAAACATTATTGTACACTTTTATTCAATTAATTGTTTAGTGAAATTCCTTGAGAAAACCGGATTGTAGTTTTGGACTCAAGAAGACTTTAACAGTTGTTAAACTATAATTATAATCAGTTTGATTAGTGAATTAAGTCCTCGTTGGAGAGAGACGAAATCACCTTGTCGGTGGACTGGAGTAGTTTGAGATCAAACGAACCAGGATAAAAATAAACATGTTCCTTACTCCATTGATTTTTAAGTTTCAATTCAATCCCCCCCCCCCCCCCCCCCCCTCTTGTGTTTTTCACTTCTTTAATTGGTATCAGAGCTCCTGGATCTGGGTGCAAACACTTAACCGTGTCAGATAAAGATCCAAGGGGGAAAAACACTATGATGGGAACAAGTCACAACATCAGCAGCAACCCTCCAATATTTGACGGTGAAAATTTTGACTACTGGAAGGATATGATCAGAAGTTTCTTCCTAGCCTGTGACGCTGACCTCTGGGATATGGTAATTGATGGATACATACATCCTGTTGATAGAAGTGGTCAGAAGATAGACAGAAAAATGATGTCTGACCAGCAAAAGCGTGATTTCAGAAACCACCACAAGGCCAAAATAATACTCCTCAGTGCTATCTCATACTCAGAATATGAGAAAATCTCAAATAGAGAGACAACCAAGAACATGTTTGACTCTCTGAGAATGACGCATGAAGGCAACATGCAAGTAAAAGAAACCAAAGTCATTGCGCTCATTCAGAAGTATGAAGCCTTCAGAATGGAAGAAGACGAAACCATTGAAACAATGTTCTCTAGATTCCAAACTCTGGTGGCAGGGCTAATGGTGCTGGACAAAGGGTACTCAACTGCTGATCACGCAAAGAAGATCATCAGAAGTTTACTAAAATAATGGAGACCAATGGTCACGGCTCTCAAACTGGCAAAAGATCTTAACATAATATCTCTAGAAGAACTTTTCAGCTCCCTCAAAAGCCATGAGATAGAGTTAGAAGATGATGAGCCTCAGAAGCAATGTAAGTCTCTCGCTCTGAAATCTAACAAATATGAAACCAAAATTTTGCAGGCAGAAGCAGAAGCAGAAAACTCTGGAGAATCCTCGTCAGAAGAAGACGATCTGTTCTTTCTATCTAGAAGAATCAATCAGTTGTGGAAGCACAGGCAAAAGAATTTCAGAAACTCCAGAAGAACAGGAAATGACTCTGAACAATCCTTTGGATACAGAAAATCAAGTAACAGAATCATTACCTGCTATGAATGTAATAAACAAGGTCACTACAAAAGAGATTGTCCAAGGCTTCAGAAGGAGAAATATAAAAGGAAGTTCGTTAAGGAGAAGAAGAAAAGTCTTATGGAAACATGGGATGACTCTGAATCTTCTGAAGACGGAACAAAATCAGAAGATAAACAAGCCAATATAGCTCAAACGGATAACTTATTAGATGCCTCAGCATCTTCTGAATCAGAATCAGGGTCAAAATCAGAGTCAGACGCTAAAGAGGTATTTCCTGACTTTATTGTTAATTTTACTAAAGTTGAACTAGGAGAAAGTCTAAGTGAAATTTTGGAAAGGTATCAGCAGCTCAGAATCAAATTTAAGAACCTGAAAAAGGATCTTACTTCTGACTCTGAAGAAACTGAGAGTTTGAGATTAGAAAACTTTGAGTTAAAAGAAAAGATTTCAAAACTAGAAAATGATTTACAAAACTCTCATAAGGAAATAATCTCAGAGGATCCCAGTAATGCTGATAAGATCATAAAGTAATATGATCAAAGCTTTTAGAAGTTTCTGGCTAAAAACATATATAGAAGAAAAATGGCTTCAATGATCTATGGGGTTAGCAGGAATGACAAAATAGGTATAGGATACAAAGGCAAAGTATTCCAACCTAATAAAGTTAAGGATCTGGTTATCAAACGCACTCCTCTCTATTCTCACTTCACCACTGGGCAAACACATGATATAAAACATGTTGGTAAGGCGTTTCATACTAAACCAAAATTCAAATAGAATTTTGGAAACTCTAACAGTCACGGACCCAGAAAGATATGGGTACCAAAAGACAAAATCATCTATGTTGCAGATATTTTTAACAGCAAGGTTGAAACTCCAGTATTAACACCTGGACTCTGGATGCTCTCTACACATGGAGAAAGAAAGCATATGTTCCAAAGCCTGGAATTTAAAAGATTCATAGGTTTCAGAGGTAATCAGAAACAGAAGATTACTGGCTCTGAAACTATTTGAAACAGGAATGGAAATACAGTATCAGAAGCTCTCTAAAGAATCTCAGATGTATCCAGAAGAGGATGTCACACTATTTCAAGCACTTTTGTCAGAGCAAGCCAATCAGAGTCTTTACCACTTTTTGATTCTTGACAAAAAAGGGGGAGAATGAAGAATATTTTGACTCATAATCAGAAGATTTTCAGGGAAGTATTTTATTTTCTCGTTAGCTGAGTACTCTACTCAGGGGGAGCCTTCCTTTTAATTTTTGTTCTTTATATTCCATCAAAATATAATAGTTTTTATCATCATCAAAAAGGGGAGATTGTTAGAACATAATTTGGTTCTACATCCCAGTAAGAGTTTTGATGATAAAAAACACATGATATAAAGAACAAATATGCTCGCTAATAAAAGTATGTTTACATGCAGGATGTGTTGGTGTAAGCCCTAGAGGAAAATACTTTTGGTACTTGTATCGAATTATTTATTAATAATAAAAGACATTTATTTATTATGTTTGCTTTCCAAAATAATAAAGTCCCTAGAATGGTTTATTGGTTTAATGAAATGTTAAGTGTGACTTAATCATGAGATCCCATTAAACATAAGACACTATTCTTAAAGTATCCTTAGTCAAGCTTTAATGTGAAGTGGGATAACATTAAAGCATTAAGATTATTATGAAGATAGATTGATGATCACATCTCATGGATCATAGATAAGGAGTTATCAAGTCTTGACATAGGTATGAATATTAGGAGTAATATTTATACTGGATTGACCCGCTATGAGAATACTACATAGAATGTTATGCAAAGTGTCATAAGTTATTCTCATGATGATAGTGGTGTATACCACCCTTCGACCTGAAACCACTATGGACCCTAGATGTAGAGTCAAGTACTTTATTGCTGATCAAACGTCAACAGTAACTGGATGACTATAAAGACGGTTGATGGGTACTTCACAAAGCATGCCAAGGGACATGAGTGACCTAGATGGAATTTTCTCATCCTGCATAACAGGATAAATGTCTAAGGGCCCAATATTGAACTGGACAAGGGTGACACAGTGTATGCCTTGTGTTCAATATAGACATGAGGGCAAAAGGGTAATTGTACAACACAAATA